AAGGCGCAGTACTTTTGCATCAAGTCGGGTAAACTCTGCAGGGTCATTCCATATCCAGAGCAGCCCACAGGATCCACTAAGGCCTTTTTTGTAACTGCATTGCAGTTCAGCTTCTCCTTCTGTCCCATCTTATTCCCTTCACTCACAAAAGCACTTCCTAATTACCTTTTAGCATACAAATCTTTATCTCAGAGCCTGTTTCTTAGTGAACTTGTATGGCAACAGTTGGGGTGGAGCAGGAGAGGTCTGGAAAAGCAGACGTTAGAATATGCTACCACAAGGACCTCATCCACAGTGGTAAGATGAAGCACTGATAGACCCTGAGATGCATTGATAGGACTTTTAAAACTTTCTCTAGGGTGAAGTAGGGTGGGAAACAGTGGAAGGGTATGTGTTGGCAGGTGTAAGGTGTCAAGCACTTGAGATGTGGGGTAGATAATAATTCAAGGACTATGGAATCGGATGGCTATTGCTGGGAAAAGAGATGCATTGGAGAAAAACCATAAAAGACTAAGTATGATTAATTACTAATTAAAGCTAAATGTTAATACCAGAAGTCTTCTTTGGAAACATATAAAGAAACTCTCATATCTTACAGCCAGAGGACAGAGAAATCTGAGTGTCAGATTCAGGACTCAATTATAAGAATAGCAGAGCCCCAGAGGATATTGAATTCTCAACCCAGAACGTATTCCACATCAGAATTTGGTCTCTGATTAGGAAGGGGTGAGCCACTGACACTTGGGATGGAAACACCTCCACTGATGCACTAAAAAATCTGAAATCCCCAGATTTCCCTAAACATTTTGGGTCTGCAGAATTGGTTCACCCTTTCTGCCAAAGGCTAGCACTCAACACTTGCCTGAAGACAATGCAAGGGATCTACTTGCATAACAACACATGGCTGCTCTCTGGAAGACAGCCCCAAAGAGAGCCCCAGTGGTCCCAGTTTCCTGATACAGCCACTCTTCTCTAGCCTCCTTTTGCTCTGAATGGAACTGACTTTTTTAACCAAAAAGTTAGTTTTAACCAAAAATTTTTTTTCTTTTTTCTTTTTTTTGGGGGGGGGTTAAGGGGGTCATCACCCACTCTAGGGAAAGCCAGCTGCTATGCTGTAAGGATACTCAAATAGCATTATGGATGGGGCACCTCGGTGGCTCAGTCGGTTAAGCATCCAACTATGGCTCAGGTCATGATCTCACAGGTCATGATCTCACGATTCATGGGTTCGAGCCCCATCGTGTCGGGCTTTGTGCTGATAGCTCAGAGCCTGGAGCCTGCTTCGGATTGTGTGTCTTCCTCTCCCTCTGCCCCTTCCCCACTCCCACTCTGTTTCTCTCTCTCTCTCTCTCAAAAATAAATAAACATTAAAAAAAATTTAATCAAAACAAAAAAGCATTATGGAAAGATCCACAAGGCAAGGAACTGCAATAAATAGCCAGCAAGCAACTAAGACCTCCTGCCAACAGCCATGTTATGAGCCTTCCTGGAAGCCTTCAAATGAATACAGCTCCAGGCAACATCTTGACTGCAATTCATGAAAGACCCTGAGCCAGAAACACAGAGCTAACCCACACCCAAATTCTTGATCCACAAAAACTGGGAGATAATAAATTTTGTTTTAAGACGCTAGATTTTGAGGTAATTTGTTACACAACAATAAATAACTAATATAGGCTCTCAGGATCTATTCCCACCTCCCATCTAGGTCATCAAATCAATAACTGGGATTAAATCACAACATAACCTCATTGATAAGTTCTGAGTCTTTTAAGAAACACACACACACACACACACACACACACACACACACACATACACACACGCACCCTTCCCAAATAAACTCTAGGATCTAGCTAGCACATGCCAGCAGAAACTATGATACTATGTTTGTGACAGAGGATTTAATATCTCAGGAGACAATGTTAAAACATATCAAGGATTGATTTTGGATATTTGGCAAAAGCAGTGAAGTGGAAATGCCAGAACCACCATGGCAAACAGTGGAAAAAGAGATCAAAGGGCTCAGAGAAGTAGGCATGCTGAAGTAGATACACTAAATAAGACGAGAAAATGCATCAGAAAACTTTGTTCCATGGGATCCCCAAGAAGACACTCTGTTTACCAAAGTGACAGGAAATGTCCTAGTAGAGGGGCACCAACATCCCTGAGAAGTTTCAATGGTGGACATCTTCTATAGGCCAGACTGATGGTAGTGGATGTTACTATAGAATCAGACTCATTGATTATAATGGGAATAGCAGCATCCTGAAAAGAGGCCAGGTAGCCACCCTTAACCACCAGAAGCAAGAAGTCACAAATGCTATAATTCACGGAGATGGTTAATAGAATACAGAATTTCTAGGGCAAGCCAAGAGGGTAATATTCAATCTATACAAACAAAAGAAATCAAGGACGGGTGATCAAGAGACTAGGGACAATATAATGAAAAGTCATGATCTCTAGTCCAATTTCTGGATCTGAGCCAGTGTTTAACATGGAACATACTGACTGAGAGAAAAGTCCCCCAAGGAAGGAGAACCCTATAACATCATGGTAAGTATATATAGTAATGATCACTTGAATCCCTCCCTAAAGGGATCAGTGGTCATTTATTCAGAAAGTTGTACACTTGGAAAAGGGGAAATCGTAAACAATTTGAGGACTGTTGGACAAAGGACACAGGTTGACATTGAAAATCTGGGCTCAGATTTATCACCCCCTTCAGGGCTTAGCATTCAGTGCCTTCACCTGCTGGAGTGTTGGCAGATAACAGCTATCAGCTAATCCCTCTTGAGGCATTGCTGTCTGCTGAAGAGTTTCTTTGTCCAAGATCACACTCCCTTCCTGGGGACAGCTTACATCCAGAGACTGGACAATGTGGGAATGTAAGACTGACCCCCTTTGTCTCAGTTTAGGATAACGCTGGAGGGCCATTGTGGCTGCACAGCCACTCATGGGATTAGTGAAGCTTTTCATACAATTGCATCACAGTTCACCTTCTCTCTCTCCCTGGTAATGCCATCTTCACTTCCCCAAAGTACTGATCCCTAGAGGACACCCCAATCCCTGACCTGCATGCAAATCTCCATCTTACACTCTATGGAACAAGGAGCCCCAATGGCAGCACATGCATTATCTCATTTGCTCCTCACTACAGTTTTACTATTATCTTTCTCTTAAAAAGGAAACTCAAGTCCTAAGATCTTCAGTGTGAACTTGTATGCTCCCCAGTCCTAGAGCCTACACTCTTCATCAAAGTGGATAAGCAAACTCTAATCCCTGTGCTCTAATTAGGCAGATACCCTCCTGGAAGAGACTCTGGGTACAGCCAGTCAGGCACTGACTCCCAAGAGTTTGTAATTCTCTCTTGTGCTTGTGATGCTGTTTTCCTGACCTGACCAACTGACAACCCAGCCCTGTAGATCCCAGATCTCAAGGTAACTGGAGCAACCTGAATGCACACTGCCTTTGTCCTATGTATTCAGCGGTTTAATAAGTGATTTGTGGCTAGAAAGTTACATAACTATAGAGATCATTCAGGTCTGCATCATGTCTTTCTTCCCTCCTCACCCCCAAGTTGTCAGTTCCTCCTTTGAGTAAGGCTCTGTCTCCCAGTCTCCCCCAAGTTCTAAGATGTCAGATATAGGAAATGCTTGCTTGGAATGTGGCTAAAACTGCATCCACTTGGCAGAGAAACAGACTGTCATCAACAGCTGCAATGAACCTAGAGGCCCTTTGTGTTTTAGAACAACTTTATTCTCATTTTACTCTGAGAAATCTCTTAGACAATGTCTGGACTCCCATCAACTTCTACACATACACAACGTTTATAAGTAACCAGGCAGGGCAATGAAGCATGTTTAGTCATTTTGCATAAGAACTTCCCTTGCACAACTTCTATATATAACTCACTTGGCAACCCCCTTTTCTACCCATTGAGGCACCAGTGCAGAACATGTTCTTAGGAGTGCTCATGGCAATTTCTGTTGTGAACCAGGAGTGCCGAGCTCCTTGAGGCAATGGAAAGAAAATTCCAGGTGTTATGTTTCCCTTACCCCTTATATTCACATCACCAATATCTCCTAGACTTGCCTCGTTATTCTCAGTCATGGTTCTTCTGCCTGGGAAGATCTGTCTCCTTCCCCTGATCCACATGTTCAGCTCATTCCTGCCCTTGTTCTCCTCTCATGTAATTTTCCACCTTTCTCCCCCCAGCAGGAGAGCCTTTGATTCCTTCAGTCATCCATGTGCACTGCACCCTCTCCCAAGAAAGCATCCCTGAGGAACCCCATTCCACCATGATCATTCATGAAGTCTTATCAGCACGTACTTACACAGATATTGGAGTATAATTGCCAATTTTCAATGGAATATGATAGAGTTTTAGAGTCAGAATATGATTTCTAAGATCACACTCTTTTACTGGAATGTGATCTTGGGGAAGTCCCTCCTACTTCAAGCTTCACTGTCCTCATTTGTAAAATGGAGATAGTAAAGCCTACACAATGTATTTGTGGAGAAAATTAATGAGGTAAAGTAATGGGAAGTGACTTTTACATTTTCAAGTGTTATAAAAATGTTAATTATCATTATTGTGTTGTTTCTCCCCCATGGGCCCTCTGAGGCCACATCTTCTACTTCCTTTCTAACTCTCCCCTGGGTCACATACAGTGCCAGTAACGCTGTAAGCTAATATTAGATGCAGTGTTAAGAATAAAAGGAAACCACTTACCTAATAGAAATAAAGCAAAATCGTAACCATATTAAACACATTATAGACATTTTTCCACAGAGTGAATCTAGAATGTGCTTGACAGGGAAACATCCTGAAAAGGGATGAAATTTATTTGGAGCCCTCTCTTGCTGATCTATACTGAATGGAAGAGGGATAGCGTTGAGACACATCCATTCCTCATTCTAACATGAGGCCAACGTTGCTAACAAGGGATAATTGGCCTCTGGAACCCTTGTTAGTTTTCCCCCCAAAAGGCTGCTACCTTGAAATAACCAGATTTTTGAAATCCTCCTTAAAGAGATCATTTTTATCTCCACGGTATGATCAGTTCCTCTTCAACATCTGATGCAACGCTTAGTGTTTTCCATTGCTTTCTAGCTGTGTCAGATTTCCCTAGAAGACAGAAATGAAAGTGATGACTAAGAAGATTGCACTTAAAATTCAAATTTTTGACCTACACACTGATTCCCCCACCCACCCCTCCCATTCCTGTCTCCTAGACTTCCAAAGGAGGAAATCACCATTTTTACACAGTGTAAAGCCTTCAGCTTACACCATTCCATGTAGACTTGCAATCTCTAAGCACGAATTTAGTTCATCTGGTTGAAACTATATAAAGCAGAACCAGTTCAGAGAGCTCAGACTTTTTTTCTATTTTCCTAACAATCTTCTGAATAGACAGAAAGGGTTACAAGCCAAAAGTGTAACAGTTAGGTCTATTTCCCCTCTGTCACAATTAGGTATTTACTTATCTCTGCCACCCCCAACATTGGTTCATATTCTATATTCTAGTCTTGCCCCCGAGTCCAATTATTTAAAGCACCATGTCTGTAATGGAGAAAGACATTGGAGGCAAAAGAAAAAGAGAGTGAGTGGGGGGAAACATAACAATAATATGGAGACTTCAGGCTACCTCAACATGTTGTCATAAAACATTTCCCTCACAGAAACAGAATGAAATTTCTCAATTGTTTTTACTTTTCTTCAATGACCCAGACTTGAGTAATACAGCCAGTACTTTGATGGCTATCTAAGATAATTAAATGATTATGCTGATGTGTTAATGGAGCTCATTTTCCAGTGTAGTCTGTTCTAGATATGCTCACTGAAATCAAAGTCATCTAGAATTTAGCGGCATTTTAGCCCTGCTCTCTACCAAAAGGCAGATTTCCTAGTCTGCCAAGCTATCAAAAGTAGATGATTAGATGGCACAAACTTTATTAAGGGATCTTTTGCAAGGAGGGCTGGTACCTCAGGTGTAGTACCGAACACCCTGCAGGAACTCTACACTTCCTCTATATATTTATAGAAAGCCATGCACTGGAACTACAACACTGATCAGAACTACTCCTGAACAGAAGTTCCTGGTTGGTCTTAGATTGACCCATTAGCAGATAACTGTAACACAAGTCAGGTGATAGCAAATATACAGGGCCAGGGACTGGGGGCAGTGTAGGGGTATAGAGAAGGAGTTGCCGGATCATGTCTTAAAGAGCAGCAGGAACTGGGCAGGAAAAGAGAAGAAAAAAGGCCAACCCAGGCAAAGGGAGCAGCCAGAACAAAGAATCAAGACAATAAGAGAATGTCCTGTGCAGAGAATCAGCAAACATTTTTATCCCGTGTGTTTTTTATATGGTGTTTTTTACAGCTACCATTTTGTAAGTCAAGCCTGCCATTTTGTTTCTCTCTTGTTTTGGAGCCCCCTGGAGATGTTGGTCTGTGAAGCACTATCTCTAACTCTCACTGTGAGGTCACCTCCCTCAAGGTTCTACTGCTTTAATGGCCCTACATCACCACTCCTAGGAAACTCAGAGGTCCAGTAACCTGGGGTGAACTGAGCAAGGAGGTTCTCCCCTTATTGTGGCCTGCTGTGAGGGAGGGGTCCTCAAGTAGTGCTCATGTCTTCCATAACATTAAAAGAGAGAGCCTTTGCAGGCTTTACCTCAGCCCACTGGGTTTTCTCCAAAACCAAAGGACTCAGAAATGACTCCATGGGGGTCTGCCATGGGAGTTGAGGAAATTACCGATTCTTCTTCAGAATCTCCCTTTCCCCCTACAAAGCCTAGAAGCTTTGATGTGGGGCCAAGCTCCTTTTCCCTTAGGCACTCATCTCTCCCAGATAGTTCCTCACTCCACCCGCCCTCTGACTTTAGGCTGGCTGCCCAAGCAGTTTACCAGACAGCCCGGATGTGCCTCAATCCTGATAGAGAGTATACATCCGAGGCCAGAGCTGGGGTCCCTTCTACCACATTTCTTTCTACTTTAAGCACAAATGAGAAAATAAATCTCCAAACATCATTTTTAATATTAGAAACTGTTAACAGCAGATGCCTCTGGAGACGGAATCATCAGCTGGGGAGCAGGGTGGAGGGAGACTGACTTTTTTACACACTTTTTAGTCGTTATATTGTGCTGTGCTTATGGATTCCCTATTCAAGAACTGTAATTTTCTATAAAATTACTGTAGAAAGAAAAGTAATTTTTTTGAAACCCACAGTTTTAAGAATATTTTTGAGAATGCAATACTAAGGCCTTTCCTATGTTCTAAGATGGCTCAATAATATTATAGGTAAAAAGTCAGTAGGTTAAAAAAATGTGGTGATTAAGAAGACAGACCTCAGACAATAAACTCACCTTGAGGCTTTAATAATTAAATTTAATCTCTCTGTGCCTTAATTTTGACGCCTGTAAAATGGGGATAATTGTGAGACTTATTGTGAGATTAAATGAACTAATATATATGAAGCATTTAGTGTTTGCCCCATAGTGAATGCTGTATAATTGGTTGCTAACAATCACCCTTAAAAGTTGCTGTTCACCTCTGTCACCTTCTGCTATAGCATGTGGTAAGAAAAGGTTCAGGTGAGTAAAGCACACCTCTGAGAAGTATTAAAAATGAAATCTGAGTGCTTTCAAAGCCCTTGTCACACTTCGCTGTCTCCAGCCTGCGGGAAAAGCACTTTCTTTCACGTGAGCCACTTCTACTTCCTCGGCCTCCAATAGCCTCCCATACACAGTATAAGACCTGAGTCAGGGACCCGAGTTCAAGCTCTTGTTCCTCCACTAACCCGACACGTGTCTTGGACAAACCACAAGGCCTCTAGTCTTAATTTCTTCACAGGAGTGTCATAGGGCCAAGCAAGCTACTGCATGTCATAGGGCCAAGCAAGCTACTGCATGTGAAAGGGCTTTGTACTGCCCAAACTCTCCACACAAGATGTAGTTATTTCGAAAATACCCAACTGATGACCTATTAAATGGAATAGTCAAGTTCAATAGAACAAGTGTCCATCTGGGAAGTGGAAGCACCCAGAAACTTCCACACTACCATGAGAAAAGTTTACTTTTTGGTAAAAACTCTGCAATTATTGAATCAACTGCTGAAGGAATAGCCCCCTCCCAGAATGTTCTGCTGGTGGGGTTGCTGGTACCCCCTCTGCCACCACCACCTCAAGGTAGAAGAGTCCTGAAACTCTAAACGATTCCTTTTCTCTTCCAGACGTTTCTTCTGGGATCCACACTCCGGGTCCTGTCACTTCTCTGGAATAACCTGTCTCCTTTCACATCCAAGGCACCAAAACATACTGCAGATTCCTATAGTTCAATCCACAGTGACTTGTAATCAGTTCAAAAAATCTCGGAGAACCAAGTTTACCAGTTCTGTGACTTCAAAGTAAGTCAATTTATCTCTCTAGGCCACAGTTTCCTTGCTAGGAAAATGATATTTCAGATTCTAAGAGTCAACATGAGGTTGGCACAACTGTAAACTTAGCACTGTTTCCTCTCTCCATCCCTTCTGGTTGATTCCATAAACCTCCACCCCCTGGCCCAAGCTGAAATCCATCTAACAGCTCTCTCTGGTTTTGAAGAAGGTGGGTCCCGACATATTTTTGTTCTCAGGGGTGAAAGGTTGCTCTCCTCCCATCCTGGCCCACCTGGCCAGGGTCCTCACATAGCTGTTGCTTAGTAAATTCTTGCTTAGTGAAGAGACAAAGAAAAGAATGTACGGATAAATGGATTAACTTGTTCATTCCTTCAACAAATGTTTACTGAGTGTCTATTATATACCAGAGAGTGTAGTTCTGTAAGAACGTGATCCACCTATTGGGTGGAAGTGGAGGTGAGGGGGCACGGGAGGCTTCCCCTAAGGAAGTAAAATCTGGCTGAGACCTGAACGAAGAGCAGGAGGTAATGCTATCAGGAGCATTCATGGGACCTGAGGCCCTGGAACTGGAAAGAAGAAAGAAATGAGTGGATGAAAGAACGAACGAGTGAATGAATGAATGAACTAACAGACCAGTGAGTGAATGGGTGGCCTGCCTTACCCTCCGTTACTGACATTCTGCCTCTTTTTGAATTAGTGCCTCTTTGGTGCCTGACATATGTGGTTACCTTTCATCAGTGTGTAAAGCAGGTGTGAGCCCTGGACACCTACTCCTGTGGTTAGAAAAGAATCTTGCAGTATCTGTATCAACACCTCCTCCTTGGCTCCTATTGTATGGAAAACAATCATTATCCAAATGGAGGGCTGAGGAATTTCAGACTTTCACTACTTCAGGGGGTTCACTTCTCTCCTCTCTTCACTAACTCACCCAAGTTTCTCCAAATGACAGCTTCCATTTCAACCCTTGTCCGTTATCAGTGTAACTGAAACACCTCCCCAGATTGGCTATGGTAATTTAGATTTTTTTTTTAATTTTGCAATAAAATCCAGTAAATCCAGTATAGAATTTAACCGTGTCTTTTCTCTTAAGGCGAAAATCCTCAAGGGAGATAAGTTTACCAAGCAGAAAGAAAAAAAAAAAAAAACTTTTGTCATTCCTGAGAAGGGGGGAGGAAAGGGGGGAAAAAAAACCCTGTAAATGTCACTACTGACTAATCCCATCTATTTTTGGAAGGCCCTGGGGGGTTTCAGGGCTTTCCATGCGGTAAATTAAACAGCGACATTCCTCTGAAAAAGGAATGTGCAGCCTTTGCTCCCTGGCTCACCTGTGTCAGCCATAATCAGGAGCCTGAAGGGTGAGTGGGAATTCCGGGGGCAGAATTGGAAACTGCACCCACATGCCCTCGGGTACTGCAGATCACTGGCATTTTTAAAGCCTATGAATCAAGCGTGACTCTAATCTGATAGCTTTCCCGGGGCCACTATGGACCTGTGAGGGTGCTCTTTTAGCACTGGCATCCCCTGCTGTGTCTACTACTGTTGACTCCATTTACACCTGACTTGGGACAATAGACGGCAAGGTCAGATGCCCACATCTGTCTGTTCCCCTGAGCCTGCCCTGAGCTCTAGCAAATCCACATGAGTCCTACAAAGCATGTCTCTTGTTAAAAGTTCAGAAAACGTTTCGTCGTTAAAAACGCACTGGTATTCCCTGGAGAAGAAGTAAAGC